CCTACATGATGAATCATGTCTCCACTATGTGCTCAGTATGCTTTTATAACAACTAAGCATGCTGGTTCTTCTGTAAATGCATGTCTAATACCTCAGCTGTCTCAAGGATCATACCATTTCTCCAACCATAGTCTCTTCTGCATGAGTCCAAAGAAATTTTGGATTTTGATTTCTACTTTGAGGTTGAGGATGCTTTTCTAGCACAATGAATATTCATTTAATTTTCCTCAGTAGATGCCTTTTTAGTCGGTGGTGAATAGACTTAAGTGAACACTGAGTAGTTCTAAGTTCATCAACAATGAAAAGATACTTTGTAATGTGAATGCTTTCAAAGCTTTTTTAATTGATTCTTTGGGAATTTCATACAATGTATTTTGATCATATTCAGACCTTCCATCCATCTCTCCACCCACCTTACTATGCACCTGTGCTGGATAGCTTTAGTTGTCAAATAACATACCTGGGTTGAGGGAGACTCAATTGGGGAACAGCTTTAGTTGTCAAATAACATACCTGGGTTGAGGGAGACTCAATTGGGGAATTCCCTCCATTGGGCTGGCCTGTGATCATGTCAGTGAAGCTTTTTTTTTGGCTGTTGCTTGATTGACGAGAGTCCAGCTCACAGTTGGAATTGCCAGCTCTGGACAGGTTGACCTGTATTGTATAAAAAGAGGGCTGAGCACAAACCAGAGGGACAAGCCAGTGAGCAGCATTCCTCCATGGCCTGTGCTCCAGCTCCTGCTTTCAGATTCCTGGCCTGAGTTCCTACTTTGGGCTTCCCCAGGGATGGACTGTGACCTGGGAGATGTAAGCCAAATAAACCCTTTCCTCCCCAACTTGGTATTGGCCAGCGTGGTTTGTCACAGAAATTGAAAGCAAACTAGAACAGCAACCCTGAGCCCATATTCTCTATTATTTTAATAAAGGCTTATTGAGCCAAATTTGGGTTCCTTCAAATATCTTGGATGTGGGTCAATTCCCTGGAGCCTGGTCAATCTACCCAGCCTCATACTCTAAAAAATTAAACTGACTCTCCCCTATCAGCTGTGAGTTGCTCAGTAGTTCCTTAGGAAGGGCTGGAATTTCTTGCCCCCTCCCCCCTATGCTGGGTTTTTGTCTGGCATAGGCTTACACAGGTCTTGTGCATGCTGCCATCAGTGCTGTGGGTTCATATGTGCAACTACTTTGCTGTGTCCAGAAAACATGATTTCCTTGTATTCATCCACCACCTCTCACTCCTGTTCCCTTTTCCACAGTGGTCCCTGAGCCTTTGGAGGAGAAGGTATAATATACATATTCTACTTAGGGCTGAGCACTCTGGTCTTATTCCTTGCACACTGACAATTTGTAGGTCTCTGTGATAATTGGCATCTG